GTGGGCAACGCACATGTACAAACCTACAATATAAATTGTAGATAATTAATATTTTAATTTATCTTAAAATTTTACAAAGAAATAAGAATAATGAAACATAAAAATTAAAAAACACAATACCGTAAAAGTCGATTATGTAAGACCCAATTATCATCGATAAAGTGCATTGTGATGGTCATATATCCTTTGTTTTGGTTGTTGGCAATCCACAAATCAGTAGTGATGGCAACTCCACTCCGATTCTTGTTTAACATTTTCGTGGACTTCATACATCTTCATAATGTCCATCTTAATAGTTCTCCTAGAGACAATATTAAATGAGGGTAAAATAGTGTTGTAGAATTTTCTAAACCCCATATCGTCAACCATGCTCAATGGATACTCATGAAAAATAATCATATTTGCAAGATCATCTCTCCCCGCTTGTTGATCTAAATGGTAATTGCTTAATGTCTTTTTGGAGTTTTGTTTTTGCATCCCCGTAAGCATCATTTCTGATACATCTTGATTCTTTCACCTTGCACAAATTTTATGATGATCATTCAAATGCCTTATTCCATTTTTAAAACCATCGATGAGCTACCAATGATAGTAGTTACACTTCGCCTTTTCCTTCCCATCAACTAAGAATTTTTTGAAATGTTGCCATACAACTAAACTAGGCCTTCTAGTTCTAGTAAAACAAGTTTCCTATTTGGGAAATAGGGGAGGGGTTGAACCAGGGGTATTGTGATTGCTATGCTAGTTCCCTAAATTGGAGATTGTTCTTGGTCATTTCCATCGGATTCGAGTGGAATATTCATGTGGGAACTCGCAATAGATAATTTTTTGGATGTCTCAGAAGATCAGTTAATATCCTCTTCTAAATCCCCTCTTTTGGTTGATGTTGACATGGTGTAATGTAACTTATTAATAACCTACAGATAACACCCACAAAAGAATAAAGATGTTAAAAAATAATGGCAAAAAAACCCCTACAGTAGTTTAGACATTTGTTAAAAAAAATTGCAAAAGAACTCAACTCGTAATAGATGTAAACTGCAGGTTCCATTTGCCAACTACACTATAGTTTGCAAATACAAATAGCAGATGGAACCTGCTGTAGTTTGCCTTTTCAAAGTGCAGATGTAGTTTGCATGGGTGAATTGTAGTGCGGTTTGCTTGGCAAACTACACAACAGGTGCAAACATAAACTTCACTGTAGTTTGCACAAGCAAACTGCACAACATGTGCAAACATAAACTTCAACCAAACTGCACTGCAGGTGCAAACATAAACTGCAAGCAAACTACACTGCAGGTGCAAACATAAACTTCACTGCAGTTTGCTTGTGCAAACTGCACAATAGATGCAAACATAAACTACACTACAGTTTGCTTGCTTGGCAAACTGTAGTGCAGTTTGCTTGGTGCAAACATAAACTACACTGTAGTTTGCACAAGCAAACTGCATAGCAAGTGCAAACATAACTCATACAAAAACTTGGATCGGATCACAACTCAATCAATCCAAACCCTTAAACCCCACATAAAATCTTCAATCACACGAACCAATCTAAACCCTCAAACCCCACATAAAATCTTCAAGCATAACTCAATCGATCAATCTAAACAACAAATACGAAAACAAGCTTCGATGATAACTCAATTAATGTAAACCCTTAGACCCCACATAAAATCTTCAATCATACGAACCAAAATTGATGAAAACCCGAAACTTTAAAAGAAAACAAACCTCTTTTTCTTGAATCTTTACACAAGGGGCATGAAGAAAGACCTTGTTTGTGCAAGTTTTACAAAGTTGATTAATAAAAGAACCATAAAAATTGTAATATACTGTATAGCTAGTAATTCTTTGAGAAATATAAGGTAAAATCCACTAAATAACTTTTATAAACATATATACATAATGTAAAATTCGAAAATTCTAACTTTAATTCATATAAATATATACCCAAAATACTGATATACTTTAGTAAGCACAAGATAATCTTGAACAGTGCCGCCAAACTCCTCCGCTTCTTGACGTCCCACCCAGTCATAAGTCATCTAGTACTTGCAAAACAATAAAATAACGGAGTGAGCACTAATTGCTCAGTAAGTAAACCAAACTGCACTACTGTGTTTCCTCCGTTACTCATGTTCGGATTTTCCTTTTCTCACTTTATTCTTTGATAATATTCTTCATTCTTTTATGATATTCTGCATTCTTTTCTGATACTCTGATTTGCTACTTACTAATGTGCAAAGACAATGAATAAAACTATACATCGTTGAGCACATAAGAAATATTAAATCATGTAAGTAGCATAATACATATACAAAATAATAAACTTTCTTGAGAAAATAACTTTCTTTTCTTTTCTGTTTTTGTTTCTCTTATGCTGTATCTCTTTTTTGCTTTTTTGCTTTTCTGTCTCTTATGTTGTATCTCTTTTTTGCTTTTCTGTTTTCTGTCTCTTATGCTGTATCTCTTCCTTTTCTTCTCTGTTTTTTGTCTCTTATGTTGTATCTCTTTCTTTTCTTCTCTGTTTCTCTTTCTCTTTCTTTTCTTTTATTATATTTGGGTTTGCCGATCGGACTAGGTTGATGCATGGATTTGGAACCCTGGCCATGTGAGTGGATACATTCCTTATCTACATGCACTACTCACGGACTATACAAGTACTATATCTCTCTACTATGGCCGCTCACTCGTGGCGGCGTGCATGTAGGTATGCTCTGCTGGGTACACTCTTCATCCACATACACTACCCACAGACTGTACAAATACTGTATTACTCTGCTGATGCCGCTCGCTCGTGGCGGCGTGTGTGTGGGCATCTCTATCACTCACGGGTTCCCCATCGCAAAAACCTTATATCATACATGCTATAGAAAGAGAATAGAAAGAGATACTATACACATTTCAACATGAATTTCCAAGCTATGGAAATTCTACACTTGCATTCGTTAAAAACATACACTTCCCATATATGAACATATCATTTCATCATGACCATTTCGTGGATGCATAACAAATTCATAAAGCATATTATGCTTAGGCTTGTTTATACATACACAAGCTCATACATAGGTAATATATAACATATTACACATAGCCTCCATGGTCATTCATTACATCAAATATATATGTTCATACAATTAGTAAATAATCACAAAGACCACTAATTTAAACATGCTTCATAACCCTTTAAGCATCATTTTCATACTTGGAATCAATTATAGATTATTAGATTAAAAATAAACTAATAAATTGGAAGCACTTTTGAGGTAGTCACTTTGCATAGGTCATATTCAAGAAGGCATATCTCAAGTTATACACATTGGATTGCTATGATCTTAGTCTCATTTTAAAGCTTGGAGACAGGGCTACAATTTTTATGTTTAGGACTCAACCCAGTTTGATAGGTAAGATACCCAAAAATCACTTAGAATGTCACATATTTGATAGGGCAACCTTGGTAACATGCCTACTTTAAGGTTTTTCCATACCTATTTACCTCCACTTACTCCCTAACCTTTCCCAACCATTCTCCCTTGTGAAAACATGTTAAAAGATCAATAATAGACAATCAAACTTCAATTCTTTCCTTTCTCTAACCCTTTCTTCATAAGGGTTTAGTCAACTCATGCATGCAATTTCTCTTTGGATTTTCATCAAACACTTCATATGCACATGCAACTACCATGTTTGCTACACTTCCACAACTCTCTAATTCAACCAAATTGTGAGCCAAAAACTCACTAAATTTAGTATCAAACCTAGCCGAATTTCTTACTTCTCTATACTCCAAAACTTTCAACACAAAATCTTCCACAACTTTACCAAATCATCACATAACCATACACTACTTCTCATGGCTAGAATTTATACATCATTAAACATAAAAAACAACCAATAATTCTCTCATATCATCACATACAAACATGCAATAATTCATTCAACAAAAGTCTTGCTCAAATTAAGGTTCAAATTAGGTTTACTTACCTTGAATATGTGAGATCACTTCCCTTTTGCTCAAAATCTCTTCCTCTTGGACCTATATCATATAAAAACCATAAAAATTTAAAACTTTAAAGTTTAATCACACTCCTTTTCCTAGAATCTTACCTTAGGATTGTAATAACTGCTGTATACTAATAAAATACATGTACAATAATAAAAGTAAATGGGCCCAAAAATTTTCTTGTACTATGTATATACATTCTTTGTACAAAAAAGTATCATTTACAAAATGCCATTCAAAACAGGGGACAGTGTGACTATTGCTCCTCGCTTGCCGACGCCCAACCGACTGCAACATCACCTTGATCCTGCAACCACAAAGGAAAAATAACAGGGTGAGCACAAAATAATGCTCAGTAAGTAAGTCCTCTACTTGTCTATCCCCGTAACTATTTCTCTTAATTCTTTCCTTACACTATTTCTGTTTCTATTTCTCTTTCACACAGCTTTCTTTTTATTAACCTCTACTATATGTCATGGCTTCATCTTGTCGGAGGCACAGCTGGGTGGAGTTCACACAGCACCAACCCACTCTTCGTGACTTTCAGGTGGAGATCACAAAGCATCAACCCATTTCTCATAACTATCTGGTCCAGCTTTTCTTCAATAAGATCAAAGTGGAAGATACATCTTCTATGATGTTAAGGAAATTCTACAGCAGAAAGAACTACTACTTCATGGAACTTCCTAGTAAACACATAAAGATGCATAGGAAACATGCTGGCAAAAACAGTTGGGTTTTCAAAATGATGACATTTATAAAAAGTCCTTGGTGCGATTATGAAATAAATTTAGCCATTGTTCTTCTGAAAACTACCTATAGTATGAATTTATAGCGTTCAATAGTTTCCCTTGATAATGGTTATCACCCTAATCCAAAGATAAATTGACAGGAGAAACAAAATCTTAATAAATACCATAATTCACCAATCTCAATCATTGAATTATTAGGCATAATCGTCTCCCTCAAGGAACAAACAAAAATTGAAATTTCAGTACCTATTCGTGAGCATCCGCATATGCAATGAAACATCCGGATCCACCCCATTATTGAGAACCCAATTGACAGCTTCCTTAACATCTTCTGACGGGGATATCAGTGCCCTCATTAGCTCACCAAAGACATTAGGTCGGGCTTGGAGAGAATCTATACGTCCAAATAAATCAGAAGCTGCCATCCTCATTTCAGGGTGTACATTCTTCAAGAAGAACTGAGCTGCCACAGCATCTGTTGTGCCTTGAAACCTGCATCCTGAAGTTAGTCATGAAGCAAGGACACCTGAGACAAGCAACAAGTTGGTATCAAAGTTGTTCTCACTTTACCATATAATAGGCTGCTCCCATTTCCTCCAGTTGCTACAGAGGACATTTGTTTGTGCTGGCTTCTCAAAATCATCTATCCTCATAACCAGATGTCTTCCAAACTTCTTCACACAACCATTATGTCTCCAGAGATGCTTGACTTCTTCCAAGGTAAAGGAAACATTGGAATAAGAAATATAATCGCCAAAAGGATATTTACCCCTGAATTAGATAAAATGAAAAAAGAATCAGCTAGAGAAAAGAATCACATAATATAACTACAATTCCATACTCTATAGACTTTCTTTCACATAACATGTCGGGCCTAGGCACTAAAAGCTATTCTTATTGTTATAAGCCTGGATAGAGCTTTAGAAAAGCATTTAAATGGAGTGCTCGAAGCATTTAAATGAAGTGCTCTCTTAGGCTTTCTAGTGTTGCTTCCAGCCAAAACATTCCATCACAGCAAAGCATCTAAAAAAGTCAAGAAGTTTACATAAATTTTTTGGTGCCTATATCACACCACTACCATGAAATGACATAACTTTTGAAACAAAACACAAACATGCAGCATACAACAGAAGTCACTATTATCAAAGACGAAAATATTTAAAATGATAATAGAAAGGCTTGAGAAAGAACCAATATGCCTGGTTTGCCCAATTATTAGTGACCGGTTCAACATCACACTCAGCGCTGCACCTGTTAAGATCTTGTACATTTCGTTTCCAAAGCCTGCTTCTGATGACTTCCCCATCACAAACCCATGTCTGCAGAACTGCTCTGGTGGAAGACTACGGACTCTCGAAGCCCCTGTAATAGGTCCAACATGTGAGCTTCTCACAACTGTTTTTCCAAGCAATAGCTTGTCCATTCATATTACAACGTTTGACGAGACCTTGTATACACCTTAATAAAACGCTAAACATGTTCACAAACCAATTAATCAAATTTCACCATAAAATTAGATATTTTATGAGGTATAAAAAAAGTGGGTTGTTGTTAATTTCCAATACTAAAAGGTACTCAGTAGAAGTGCTTTAATGTTAAACCATAAAAACTTCCTTTCATACTGTCACACTACAAATTTAACTTTAGACAAAAATGTCAAATACAATAATTGCTTTTACATGTTTTAGATGCAGTAAAATTGCATATTAAAAACAACTACAAGATTAATCATACGACAGAGGTGATGAAGGGAAATCTCATACAAGATTATTTACTTATTATAATAATTTGGCAACTAAGCTTTTGTTACAATATAGTGGATTTAACATTACCGAAATGATGTTTTTATTAACCGAAATGTCACATGAAACATCACACACTCTTCGTGTTACAAGTCATGTTCTATTACAAGTTCAATCTTCAATGTTACAAGTGTGATACGGAAAAATCTTCTATAGCTTGCATCTTCTTAGCATGATCCTTAATTTACAATCAGTTTCACGTAAATTGCCCTCATATTCACCACATAAGAAGCTGTAATTTTTACTTTCAAAGTCTTTAAGCATAAAAAATTCAGAAGCAAGTAAATCTCAACTAAATCATATTCTAGCTCATGTAAACAAAAATCAATAATAATACAAAATTAACAACAAAAAAAGAAAAAGTAGGAGCAGCTAGTAGGAAGTACCATTTAAAAGGAAGTGATTTTGAATGAGTTTTCTAACTCTAAGACTTTCTTCCCAAACATGGCCCTTAAAAACCTCGCCCATTTCTTCCACCGTGACACACCGCTTCAAACTTGAACTCGAATTCGAGCTCCCAACTGTAATATTCTCGGTCTTTGTTTCTGGAAAAACGGGAGTAGAAACGACGTCGGCTGGGTTTTGAAGAAACTTATCAACATTAGGAGTGGGAGGAGCAATCGATGTGAGTGCAAACATCATAATCAAAAGCATCAACAAGCCAACGCCAGTGCTAAAAATTGCAAAAGCGGCGATGATTAGTCTTGCCGACAATCGTCTCCGCCTTGATCCACCGTGCCTCATAATTTGAAAGTTGCAAGTAATGTTTAGTGTGCAAGTGGTTCAGTGAAAGTATATTGTAACGCTGTAGCTGTATAGTGATGATTAGATCCGGAAGGACTATATTATTATTTTATAAGTAAAATAGATTTGTCCGCTTTCAAACTTGTTTAGTGCTCTTGCCTTTACGTTATAATCTTACATAATTTGAACTTCATGTTCAACAATCTACCGTTTGAAGATAGGGTCCTCCATATTGAATATTTTGATAAAATCATTAAGTACATAATATACCATAACAATCTTTCCTTGTTTGTCCAACAGGTAATTGTTCATTTCATTTAGAATACGGAACCGTCTTTTAAAAACACCAAAAGTTCTCTTGACAACATTGCGGAGTGAAGCATGTTTGTAGTTAAACAACTCTTGTCGCCCCCTTCGGTTACCGCGGTGATCAGAAATATGGTAAGCCATTCGCCTGTGAGGGGCGAGGAACCCCTCTCTATTTGGATAACCCGCGTCAACCAAATAGTATTTCCCTGTAATAAAATCAGACATGTTGTGTTATTAATGTTGATAGTCATATTAACCGACTATCAACATTAATAACACAATGAACTTAACTATCCACTAATAGAAAACATAATGAAGTACCTCAAAGAAAGGGTAATATTTTCGGTTGGTTGATATTTCCCATGAAACATCACTGAAGTCAGGTGGTCTGATAAACTCTATCTTCAACTCACATATCGCCTCGCAAACTGCGCCAACAAATCTAGAGATTGTCTCAGCCGAATGTTGAAAATCCTCCATCATCGTTCTGATTGACTCGTTTTTACCAACGATTGTTAGAAATATCATAACTTGTTCTTCCAAACTCGTCCTCCTGGTTGGTCGCAATTTGCCTTGTTGTGCCAAAGTGTAACATAAGTATGTAAAACAATATTTGTCTATGCGACACTTGTCAAAGATCCTGTCAGCATGATCATTGAGTACTTCCAACATGTACTCATGACCAGTTAATATGGATTTATGTCGTAGTTGAAGCCCAGTTGTTTCTAACGCGGCAACCCCGCAGAGTGCAATGGTTATATCTATCAGTATTTCTTCTTCCTCATCTTTAGAACGTCGTCTTCTTCCTGTACGGCTAGATGACGCCATTTAAACCTGCACATTTGCAAAAACAGTGATCAATAATTAACAGTTATTGTACTACTTAGCAAAATATAACAGTCAATATTTAATTCTAATGACAATCCAAAACTCATATGAAACATGTAATCTCACATAAAACAATAACACAATTAATAAGTTCATACAGTATCACACATTTGGGGACATTTTCAAATCAAGGTGTTGAATAGAAGTTTGGCTTGGCCATAAAAGGACAAGTGCCCACAGGCGCATACAAAAGTGTTGGCAAACACTTAGGACATACAGTGGCATCCACAAATTGCGAAAGTCATTATAAATCCAATTAGCCTTTTCTTCGGGCGGGAGTTTCACGAATACCTCCCGCCACCTTGGATTTTGATATAAGTACTTAACAACCGACATGTAAAACTCTGTGGGTACTTGCATGGCCGTCAAGATGTCAATACAATTGCTCATGGAAAATGGATCACATGGACCATTGGTGTCCCCCTCATCTCCACTGCGATTGCTAGCCCTCGATCACACACTCCGCCTCTCCTCAAGCACGTTTGTCAATCTACCAATGACATCCACAAGTGCTTGTCCAGAGTCGCTTATATTCCTCCTATTTCTGCTCTTCCATGGCCAGATGTGTTTGCCCTTTTTTCCCTTATCATCCGATCTGGATCAGGTTCAAAGTCGCTATCATCAGTGTCAACCACGTCTTGATTGGAAGAAGTGAAGGTCTCCATCGATTGAGATGTAGATGTGTACGCATATCTCTCAATGGCAGTTTGCTTCTCAAATATGATTTCATAAAGCTCCTTGTGAGGAAGTCCTTTGTAGTAGAATTGTTGCACCTATGGATTTTGCTAGTAATGCAAAATAATAATATATTAATATTTGGCAGTCCCAAAAAAAAATTGCGTAAAAATACGGTGTCGTTGATTAATATTAGTTAAAAAAGTTGAAAATTTACCTAGACATATTCTTGTCAAACTTGTACGGGACACGTTGAACTTTGTGACTCATGATCCCACTCGAAGCCCGTGTGTTGCAGCAATTTCCGCCATGCTTGATATACTTTTCGCAGGCGAAAGTATTTAGAGGTTAGTTGTGTGACGTTGAGTCTCCTCCCAGTCAATGATGATAAGTCATCCAATATGTCTTGGTAATTTGCTGTTTTTATTGAAGTACTGTGCAAAGTTTTCACCCGCTCAGACAACTGGATCAAAAATTTATGGGTCATCTCAGCAAACCAGTTCACAGTATCACTCATCTAAGGACAGTACGGTCAAAACGACAACCAAGATTGGGACACCATACCAATCACCAATCACATTACAAACACACATACGCACATTTAAACGTAATCAAGTAAACACATATAAACTGTTGCCTCATTCGATCCGACACTGCTTGAAGACATCAATGCAGGGGAAGATACAAGCAATGTCGACCAACAAGGTGTATGACGAACTCCAAGTTTAGAAAAACGTCGAAACTTTCACTTCTGCTACAAATAGTAATCAATCCTACGACATCGGGACAAATTATATTGACATCTATGCATATGAGCATAATTTGTTCTTACGATCAAAGAACGATGCCGAATCTGCAAAACAAATATATCAGTTAGTGAAATCCCCAAAAAATATTTCCAATAATCCAATAATTTTTTACTCCAAAATTCATCTATTACATATAGCATGTTACATACAGAACATATGAAGCTGCACAATATTTTGGTGCAAGTGTTAAACACTCTAAGCAACATAAAAATGCTCTAACCGTTAAACACCACAAACTAATCCACCAGATCCAAGTATCTCATGTGTAGAAATCACTTTAGACTCCACCAATTATAAAATGCCACACTACAGTCTAAAATAAAAGGAATAATGAAAGGAAAAACGACTACTAACACAATGCCAAAAATAAAATAAAATGAAACCCAATTGCGTCTTTGGGTGTCTTGAAAACCAACACGTCGTCTTCTTCCAAAATCGATTCCTTCCCTTCTCGGGTCTCTTTCCCTTTTTGAGCTATAAAACATCAACACAAGTTCAGAAATTCCATTAATCCACTATTCTATAATAGATTGACAAACCTGCAAAACAAATTACATCAAAAACACCTTGGGCTGATTCACGGAAGTCAGATCGGCGACGACGATTAACGATGATGGTATTCACGGAAGTCAGATTGACGACGATGGGCTGATTCACGGTATTCACGAAAGTCAAATCGACGACGATGGGCCTTGTTCGTGGTAGATCAACGATTGCGGAGGGTCTTCGTGGATGGTTCGTGACAATGGGCTTCGGATCGTGGCAGATCGGCGACGACGGTATTCAATGAAGTCAGATTGGCGACGATAGGGCTTCACAGTGCCAGATCGGCGACGACGGTGGATCTACGTGGATGGTTTGTGATGATGGGCTTCGGATCGTGGTAGATCGACGACGGTGGGTCTCCGTGGATGGTTTGTGATGATGGTGTTGTTTTGTGATGATGGTTTGTGACGGTCGGTTTGTGTTGTGATGATGGCGGCAGATGGTGATGGGTGGTGGCGGTGGGCTGGTAATGCGATGATGGTGGAAGATGGTGATAGGTGGTGGCGGTATGTTTCTGTTGTGATGATGGTGGAAGATTGACTGGGTGGTGCCGTGGGGTCGTTTTCTGATTCAGGTGGATGGTTGTTTGGACAATGTGCTTTGTTTTGTATTTGCAGGTGGAAGATTGTGTTGGAGAACAATTTGTTGGAAGGGTAGGAAGATGGCTTGTGACGGTGGTGAAGTGGTGAAGCAGTGAACCAAAAGAGAAAGTGAAATAAAAGCAGACAGCACTGCAAACTCTGTCTTCAACGATCAAAAAATTGTCAGGATTCTATTTTCAGGATTGTATTGTCTGAATAATAAACCAAACATTACTCTTAAAATTGGGTTTAGGATAGGGTAGGAAATAACAAACCAAACACACCATTTAGTTTCTCAAGTATGTTTAGAGCTTCATGGCACAAGACTTTTTGTATTTCCGTACTATTATCCTTAGGATAATTTCCTTTCTCTTCTTGTCTAATTGCAACAATGGTTTCTCCTTTGGTTAAAGTATACACTATTTGTTACTTATTTGGATAATCAACGAAGACATTAATATCCATTCGATTAGTGTAGTAATTTTGTCGAATCTGATCACTCAATTCTATAGTGACTCTTTTATTCTCCTCATCCACTTCATTTGTAACTTACAATTCATTGACATTAGTGGTCCTAATTTTGCAGCCCTTAAAACCATTGACAATTGTCTGTGACTTCACATCAATTGACCATGCATCAACTGTATTTACAGTTCCATCAAGAACACTTATTTTTGCTGGTTCTAAGAAACGATCTTTTATCCGTTTCAAAAGTAGGCAATTGAAATGTTGTATTGAAATCCTAATATTACTAAAATATGAATTGAAATCCTAATATTGTACTACTAAAACATGAATTATAAAATAAGAAATCAAAACTATAATTTTTGTAACTACACCTCCATTAAGTTAAAACCTCTTTATAGTAATAAAATTAGTTAGTCCCAACATTATGACTATAGAGAGGTTTTACTGTATTACAAATTTATAATCAAAAGATTCAAAACATAAGAAGCCAAACTGCCAAAAAGACCTCACAATCCACATCAGTAGATTCAATACATCACACTATCAAGATTCAACATTCAAGAGTAACAACCAGATGGCCAGACCACAACAGACAATACCTAACATTCCATTTCCATGTGCAGCCCATAAACAACCTATAGACAAATTTTAAATTATTACATACCTAAAAAAAATCTAAACCATATTAAATTGCATACAATTAAAATATTGAGAAATAAACCTGTCACGTAAGAAATCCAAAACTTTTCACTAAAAGCATCCATGTCATCAAAATTATACCACTTTGA